TGTGCTCATGTTCTCTGCTGAGTACCATCTCTTCTTTCTGTATTATGTCTACGGAAGGCTAGTTGCCGCAGTCGCACCTATGGAAAACTGTGCCTGACTACGTTGTAACAGTTTTCCTCGACACTTCACAGGTGGAACTAGTCTTCGTGTGTTTGTGTGTGAGTGAGTTGTGAGCATGAGGGGGTTGAGCACCTGCTGGGTGCTATATAGTCTACATGTACTGCTGTTGCCTGCGCGTCTTTTTTGCCTTTTTGGTTACTCACGCCCTTCTCGCATCCCCGAACCTCCTGCGTTTGTTGCGTGATGCTGCTGCGATTTTTTCTTTTTTTTTGGTCCCTGTTTTTCAGAGTTCGCGAGCTCTTGTGCACGAAAATGAATGGTCGTCGACAAGTTCCTCCCCTTCTCCTTCTTCTCTGGGAACTCGTGGAAGGATGTGATGGGCTTGGAGACCGCCGATGACACACCGTATCCTGCGCTTCCTAGCAGGCGCATCGAGCACCTCCTGGTGGAGATGTTCGTCGCCACCAAGAAGGTCAGCATTGTTTTTTGGCATATAATTCGTCAAACGTGAGAGGAATGTAATACAAAGTACATGCAACAGACATTATCCTTCATCATGTGGTTTTCTACTCGAGATTGCAACGTGAGTGTTCACCCGCAAAAACACCCATTAGAAACACACGTTTTTACGCACTTTTTTTCTATTGTTATATTTATCCTACAAACTCAAGTGATAAGGATTTTTCCGGGTTTTAGGACACGGTTATATACACACATCAATATAAAAACATAAAAACACCATACTTGCCGAAAATGACAGCAAATAGTTTGTATTGGTCTTTGTTTTCCCGAACGCTCGTTCAGGTCTATGGAGAGACTAACCGACATCATTTGTTGCCTTGCGTCGTTCGGTTCCCCTCGGCCTGCAGGCTGTGATGGGGAACATGTTGGAAGAGATCAAGAAGGCACCTCTGCCCATCGTTCACTACGGGGTCGACCTGTGGACGTGCAAGACTTCTGGGATGAAATTCATTGATGTCCACGCGTTCTTGGTCGACAGCAACTTCGAGCTGCGACACGTTCTTCTTGCTGTGAGTTGGACAGCTGTTGTGTCTCTATCCCCCTTGCCCTCCGCAAGGTATTCGAAGCGCTTACGGTGATACTTGATTATCAAAATTATTGTATAGCAGCAGCACGCATGCGTACGATGTGTATGTCAAGAAGAAGTTGTGATTTAGTTGCCTTTCAGCGAGGTAGACGCGAAGGCCGTCTTCGAGGTACTCTCTGGGTGTACTGGCTCCGCTGAAGATAATGTGTTTGTACACATTGTGAGATGTGAAACAAAACAACCACCCTTCGTATTTTTTGAGCCAGCGATCTCCCTCATCCTCCTCCTCGTCAGTGCATAGTTTTGAGTGTGCATGAGCGTACAAGAGTAACAACGCTGTGTCTTCCTACTGCTGTCGCTAAATGTACGTC